AGGGCAAGAAGCGGCGTTTGACTGTATTTTAATAACGTAAATGAAACAAAGGCAAGCTGTATGGTTTGTAAAAAGCCGATTAAATGTAGTGGAAACAAGTTTGAGAAACGGCCTGGGTCTCTGAGCAAGACCCTTAACCCCACACTGCTCCCTGGGCGCCGCAAAATGGCAGCCCCCTGCTCCCCCGGGGGATGAGTTGAATGTTGAGGTAAATTTCTCCAATGTGAGATCAAAAAGGTTAAATTAATATTATGCTGGATGTGCTGTTCAGGTGGTTTTCTTAACAAGCTTCTCATCAGGGGACACCAAGAACGTGTTGACAGGATCAGCAGACAACAGCTGTCGACTGTGGGACTGTGAGACCGGTGAGTTATTTCCATTTTCCTCTGGGACAGAAAAAGGGAACAAGGGAAGCATTTAGGAAAAAAATAGCCTAAAGATCAACAGAGGAGTGGCGTATGAACGTCTTGTTTCCTGATGCGACGTGTCGCTCTGGTCTGTTAAGTCGTCCCCGTCTCTCCCCAGGTAAACAGTTGGCTCTGCTCAACACCAACTCGGCTGTCAGGACGTGCGGCTTCGACTTCAGCGGAAACATCATCATGTTTTCCACAGACAAGCAGATGGGTTACCAATGCTTCCTGAACTTCTTCGACCTGAGGGATCCACAGCAGATAGGTAGAAAAAAACTCCATTATTGACATGTTTAGGGAAAAACCCAAAAAGAATCAACTTAAATGTCTGCTTTAGCTATTATTTACCAAATCAGCCATTCCTTACATATCTAACATTTTTTTTTTATTATATTCTTATATGACAACAATAACGAATATATTTTACAAAACCAATAACTATAGATTATAAATATTAGAAAGATGGGCTATTTAAAAAAAAAAAATTTCACATCAAACTTTGTGTTTTGGATCCCATAGTCTGACTGCAAACATTATGAGCTTTAAGAAGGATGGAGGAAGCTAAATGTGTTCATTCATCATCTGATATAAAAGCTTTGAAGCTTCCAGTTTACATGTTTATGTTGTGAATAGGGTAGAGAGTCTTTTGTTTATTTATTTAACTTTTTAGCAGAATTCATCAGTAAAAAGGCAAAATATTCTGAAATCATATATTGCAGGAGAAGAAGGTGATTTTATCCTTTTGTTTCTGGCTCCTCTTTAACTGCTCTGCTTCACTTGTCTGCATGTTTGTTTTACTCAGCTAGCTAACCTGTGGAAGCATAAGTAGGTGTTTTGGCAAGAACACGTCTGTCCTAAGAGGGGTAGATGACTTTTCAGGGTCATCTAATATGAAAGCGTTTTTTTTTATTTAATTATTTTATGTTGTATCATAAGCTTCATTTAGTTTGGTTTAGTTAATCTATTCCCAGGAAATAAGCCAAATAAGCTGTAATCGTCCACTGATGGACGTTTTCTATATTATTTGTCTTTGTAAAAGAACACGTCATCTTCCTTCCTCCAGCTTTGTTGCTTTTATTTTCCTGCAGGCTTTGTTTTTGTTTCCGTTCTTCTCACCACTAACTCTTCTGTCTCTCTCTGCAGAGGACAACAACCCCTACCTGTCCATCCCCTGCAGCGAGCACAAGATAACCAGCGCCGTGTGGGGACCTCTGGGGGAGTTCGTCATCGCTGGCCATGAGAACGGAGAGATCAACCAGTTCAGCGCTAAGGTCGGCGTCTAACGCCACAGGGCTGGAATCGTACACATTATAAACATAGACGCCTCGTTGGACGGGGTCTGCCTATGCTGCGGATGAGTCAGAGCGTCCGCCATGTTGAATGGCAAATCTGCTGTTAGAATCAGACACTTAAACAGTGGCCGTTTCTCAATATGTGTACTTGTGCGTTCTCATGTGCTCGTTTACTTGTGAAACGTGATCAGCCCTCAGCCCTAGTACTACTCCAACTCACACGAACAGCAGATCGAGAACAGACAAAATCCCTGGATGTTGTTCTCCCCTCCCTATTTACCCAGCATGCATCTGAGCAGACTTGTCTGTTCTGTTGTCAGAGATTGCCAGCTGTCCCAGCATGCACTGTGGCAGCAGCAGCTTCCAGTGGAGCGCTAACAGATCTCAGGGTATTAAGTTAAAAGTTCTCGTTTCTGTTGCTGTTGTTAAAAAAAAAGTAGGGTTTAAGATCATTTGATGTGAGAACATTATACTTTAAAGAATCACTATATGGTCCATTTACCGATTTAATGCATATTAAAAAACAAAAAAAAAATGTTTAGAAGTTGAGAGGACCGTGGCAACCAGCGGAGCTCCAAAGCTAACAGCAGCCAGGGCTAACCTCAGCCCGTCTGCAGCAGCCCTCTCATAGCATAGCTGTATGTGAAGGACTGCTGGCTCTGATGGCGTTTTTTTGTTTTATTTGGCAAAATGTTCATTTGATTTGTGTTTATCTGACTAAATAAAGTAAGAATTTATTATTATCTTGAGACGACTAATAACAGGAGGTGAAATGCAGCTCCAGAGGAGCCAAGCGTGCGGTGATGTCATCAGTACGCTTCTGTTCCAATTAACCCATATTTCTGCTGCGTGCTCCCGTTCTCCCAGAGTCCACACTTTCCTGCTTTCTTCTAAAGAACATCGTTGGCGAGGACATCAGTCCGTACTCGCGTCCTAGTGAATTGATAATCAGCCAGTATCAGAGGGACTTTAATCTCAGAATATACTTTATGTTCTTAATATTTTTATTTTTGTAATATTATGAGTTTATTTTCGTATCCCTTTGGCTTCATTCTCCTGACTTTATTCTTATAAAGAATCAAATTGATTAAAATAATTTAACCTGTCCCTGTTACTCCAGGACAGAGAAACTTCTTTCATATGACGTTTTTCTCACCGCTTTTGTCCGTTTCTCTCTCTCTCTCTTTTTTTTTTTTTTTTTTAACTTTTCTTGGGCTTTTTTTTCTCCCTCATATTAGTAATTTTTCGGTTTTATGAAGTAATGAAGACCACAATGTTTAGATTTAACCAACTGGTTTTTATATTCATAACACATATGTATGTATGTATGTGTGCATACATGCATATAGGTATATAGATGCATATAGACACATCTACAATCTTGATTATACAGATGTATATAACCACAGACCTGTTTATTTATTCTTCAACATCTATATTTGCACATCTATGTGTAAAGACTGTACTGCATGCAAGCTAAAAACCTTGAAAAAAATGTGGTCTTGCACAGACGATCGATGTTCACTACTTTCTTCTGCCTACAATATGGCGGTGAGGTCGACGTGCAAACCTGTGCCCATCGAGGCGTCTACGTACATATGTCTGTGGCTGGGATCTACAGGAGGTTCTCTGGGTTGTGATCGTTTATTTTCTTTCCAGTCTGGAGACGTTCTGAAGATGGTAAAGGAGCACAGCAGGCAGATCAACGACATCCAGTCATCCGTGGATCTCACCATGGTGATCACAGCCTCCAAGGATAACACCTCTAAGGTAAGAAGCCTCTCTACACTCTCTACCCCGACACCCGCCGTCACCTGTTAGTAACGCCGACGTTTCCTTTAGCTGTTCGACTCCAACTCTCTGGATCACATCAAGACGTTTCGGACAGAGAGGCCCGTGAACTCGGCCGCCATCTCTCCTAAAATGGACCACGTAAGAATCGACCCTGAACATTAGATCAAACTGCCGCCTCTGATCTCTGACCATAAAACGCTTCCTTTAGGTGGTGATGGGAGGCGGACAGGAAGCCATGGAGGTCACCACGACCTCCACCAGGATCGGCAAGTTTGAGGCGAGGTGAGCGAGGGATTTAACAGACGAGAAATAAAACACGTCTCTAAATATTTATTAGTTATACAAATAATTTTCTGTACCAGGTTCTTCCATGCCGCCTATGAGGAGGAGTTTGGCAGGGTCAAAGGTCACTTCGGTCCCATCAATTGTGTGGCGTTCCATCCTGACGGCAAAAGGTACGACTGACCTATCTGAACCTTTTGTTATTTCAATCACAACCAGACTGTTTGGATTTACTATCAGCTTCCTGCTGCTTCTGTCTTACAGCTACAGCAGCGGAGGAGAAGACGGATACGTACGAATTCATTACTTTGACCCACAGTACTTTGATTTTGAACTGGAGGCGTAAAAATCCGCTTCAGCCAACAGACACACCTGGAAGGAAAACATCCATCGCTTTGCTCCGATCTCTAGTTCTACGTTAAAATTTTTAATATTTACCAGCAGTGATAACATTTAACTGTTCATTTTTGAATTGATTCAATAAAAAGAAGGAAGGTCAAGAAAAAGATGTGCTGCTCTTTATGATAGAAATGAAACACTTAGTTTTTTTTTTAAGGAATAATCTAAAAAGAAACCTGAGTTTCTAACATGGGGTGTTTTATTTATTTTTTTGGTTAAATGACTGAAACTGGAGCTGTTTGCTTTGGTTAAAGATTTAAAATTTTATCTTCAAAAAAAGGCATGAAACGATCTAATGTAGTAAAGGGAAGGATCCGTAATGCTCTGGGCCCGTTTGTCCTCTGAAACTCCACTAGAAACAGCTAATTCATATCATCCTGAATCCCATAACACCAAAGAGGACATTCTTAAAAAGCTGTATTGGGAAAACAAGCCCAATAAAAAAAGAGTTGTGAATTTATTTTGGATTTTTTTTTTTCAGAAAGCCTATGAAACAACTCTGGTTGGTTCAGGAATTTATTGGGGTCATCCCGAGACTTTTGCACATTTCAGCTGAGATCAGATAGGAACGGGATCAGAAGTGGAACATCTTTTACTGCAGGAGCCTGTAGAGGCTGGAGGAGAAAACACTGAAAATAAAAACTCCAGGAGCACTTCAGGCTCCTGGAGTTTTTTCATTGACATTTTACAGTGGATTTTTCAGACCGAAGCTTGAATAAACATTAAAAAAATAATTGTAAACATATGGTATTCAAATTCATTGCTAAATTAATGTTAGGTTTTATGATAAATGGTGTTTCCTTGTAATACAGCCTATGCAGCTGTTTCACAGTGAGGGATATGAAAAATATACTATTTTTGACTGCATATCTGCTTGTTTTCATATTAAATCATGAACCAAAGTTGAACTTACTGTAAATATTTATTGAATTGAGCTAACAAAGGTCATGTAATTCAGTCGGTAAAGGATAAACATGATAGGTAACAACCATATTTAAACTGCATTCATTTTTCCTCATTTTGCTTTTGGAAGTAGTTAGGCTCGCCTGTAAACTTTGACAGGCTTTTAAACAGCCTCAGGATTCAGTGAAGATGTGGGAGTGTGTAGGAGCGTTGAGGTCAGTTTGGTAGAGTTTGATTGAAACTTAATTGATCTCAAACTGGAGAAATTCATCTTTACATTTAATGCATCCCCTTTGGGAGCAGTGGGCTTCCAATGTGCAGCGGAGGAGAGTGGGGTTAAGGGTCGTACTCGGTAACCCAGAGTGCAGACTATGGGGATCGAACCGGGTACTTGCAACTTTCTCAGAGAACAAGCGCACTGCTCTAATCGCTTGGCCAACACTCCCCATATTCTGGATATATTCTAAAAATAAACTGGTTGAAAAATCTAGTTGGTTAAACAATACGATGATTAGAAACTACCCAAGCCTTTGGTTTCAGTTGTATTATTCAGTATTTTCTGTGAGCGATGGTATCTGTAGTAGGAGTTTGCCTTTCTATCAGTTATTGGTTCCAGACCCAGACTTGGCTTTTGAAAGTTGCTGCACTGCTTATCCAATATTTTGGACCAAAATAAAATAAATTAAAGGATAAATTGTCATTGTATCCTAAAGACCGACACCACATATAAGTTTATACGGTAATTTATGTATAATCATCACAAACATTACTGATGAATTACCGTAATTCAATGCTTCAGGCCCCAAAGCCATAGTGTCGTAATAACCATACTGCAGGTTTTACATTTGTCCACTTGATGGCACAATAGAGCAAATTAAGCACCTTGAAGCTTTGGCACAAAGAATAAAAAATCCTTTAATTGTTCCAATATGGGGAATTTCTGAAGTTTACAGCAGTGAAAAGATGATAGAAAACATTGTCATAAACATAGACCTTAGAAAAATGTATAAGAATAACAATAAAGAGATATACTGTCAAGTGTTTTAACGCTTCCATGCTGTGAAGCTTTATTTCACCATCACTATCTTGGGACACATTTCAGGCATGAAGCTTCTATTTATAAATATTAAGGATAAAACTAATTCTAACTCTGAATCGTTCCATCACATTAACATTTTATTTAGCAGCAGAAACAGCATCACGTTTCATTATTTTCCATATGGCTTCATTAATATTTTAAGTCCCAGTGATTAGAAATGCTCACTGCGGTCATTTCCTCCCTCTCTGTTTGATGTTTAAGCTGCTTTTTCTCTAAAGATTCCTATATCCAAACATTTCACTAAAAGTTTTTCATTTTCTCAGACTGGCTCCTGATCACAGATCAAGGTCTCAGCAGATTAAGATCATCTTGATCTGCTGAGATGCTAAAGAATCAGAACAATCAAAGACAAAAAAAGTCGTAATAAAGTCTCTTAATGGTAGATTTGGTTTTGCTGACATAAATCCCTCAGAGGCAAAGACCAGAGATGGATCCTTTTTCTTTATTTTTTTTATGACAAAGATACACATTTCACAAGGATACAACAGCCACACCGGCATTCACTTCCTGGCTTTCTCTACTTTTTTTTTCTGTAAAATGATACAAAATCTCTAAAATAATTCATTTGCTCAGCAACATCCTCCTCCGCAGAGGTTCACACGCACTCATGAATGCAAAAAAACAAAACAGGAAGGAAATCGGTTCACAGAGCAGAGAATTATGGGACGATGAGCTGCTTCTTGATTTAAAATAACTTAATGGAGCAGATTTGGGGACTGAGGAATATGTACATGCTGAAGGAGAGGCGAATCTAAGCATGCAGTCACTGATGAAACAACAGCAAGGTGTCGATGCGTCATAAATAGTTACAAAAACTACCAGTTAAGTCTTTCTGTGAGGGGAAACCATCTAGAACCGCAGCCTCACAGACTTTAATCTAAATATTCCAGCATGGAAACAGTGGGCAGCAGGTGGGCGGGGCTTAAACATGATCATTAATACGCACGCACGCACGCTCCCACCCACCTGCTGCTTGTCTCGTGGAAAACAACAAAAACAATGTAAACCAGGTTTGTTTGCAGGAACGAAGGAAAACAGGAACAATAAAAAGACGCTCTTGTTGCAGGAGGTAAACAGGAAGCTGTGGGCCGACAGCAACTCTTCAGGTCGTCTTTATCTCCTCATTTGGTCTGAAACAGAAAGATTCATCATTTATAAAACATTTCTAATGAAACATCTCAATAAGTTCACCTATTGATGAAGTTATTTAAGGAACTGATTGATTATTGGCTTCAGCAAAAGCCAGCCCCAAAAGCTTCTACTGGTTTGGCTTCCAGATAGACGAGTCAGAGTAGCGCCATCTCACTGCGGAGCTGAGTCCGACATGGTTTTTAGATGTAGAGTGTGAGCAGATAGATCGCATCAGAGCGTCGTGCTGCACAGTGTGAGAACAAACACTGTGAGCTGTGTACGCAGAAACCATGTGGTTTCCTCGTACAGCATGAGCTGTAGCTGCGTGCAACGATTGAAACAATCTCAGTGTGTACCCGGCTTTACCCGCTGTAATACAACATCTAACTGCCATGTACGTGGGCATTGTCAGTTTCACTATAGCTCTGGTGAATTTCAACGGTGGAAGTCCTCTGGAAATCTTCAATAATTGTTGTTGATTGCAGATGTGTCTAGTAGTTCCCATTGATTTAGCTTGTAAAGCGAGGAGAATGGCGTTGGGCTTACTGCACCGTGACGTCACTGCCATTAGATGGCAGGAGGGAGGTGTTACTATATTTGGGCAAAAATGGCCGCTCCCAGACTTTTTTTTTTTTTTTTTTACAGATTAACGCTAAATTCATTAAATCACCGCAAACGTATTAGTTTTAGGCATAGATAATGACCCTAATTATTCCTTGCTGATCGGACTTTTCTTTTAAGGCTGAGCTTTAAGATGGTTTAAATGCCAAGGAGAGAAAAAAAAATCAAAAGCCAACTTCAGTATTTGGCCATTTTTATAAACGATGCGGACAACAGCTAGGTGAAGGTTTTATACTTTAATAATGGCAGAAACGCAGCAGAAATGTGAAAAAAGCTGCTTCTTTCCACCCTCTGATCTTACCCAGACGTATCCATCTTCTCCTCTTCCTTCTCTTCTTCTTTCACTTCTAGAAAAAAAAACAGGACGTTATAAAAACATCCTGTTGGCTAATAAACCTTTTTAATGTGAGCAGCCCTTACCTTTCTTTTCCTCTCCTTCTTTCTCTTCCTCCTTCTTCACCCTTTTTGCCTTCTTGTGGTTGGCTGCGTTCCTGCGGCCTCCTCCTTGGCCCTCTGCCTCGTCCTCGGAGTCGGAGAACTCCTCCTCACACGCTATCCTCTTGTCGTGGGCTCGGACTGGAAGACAAAACCTTCTTCAGCTTCCCTGAAACAAACCCAGCCCCTCGCTCTCTGTGCTTTAGTGTTAAATCTCCTACTAGAGACGCGTTTGTCGGAGTCTTCCTCATCCTCGTCTCCGCTGTCGGGGTGAGGAGCGTCCTCGGGGATGGCCTGCATCTGGACTCCTGGGGCGTGAGGCAGCATGCGGAGGTTCTCAAAGAGCCGCTGTTTGATCTTCTCCAGGTACTCGTTGGTGTTCTGGTTGGTCATGTTGGACGGGCTGATGTGCAGCTTAAAGTCGGGCCCGAAGTATTCGAAGTAATCGTTGTAGGGCAGCTCGTTTGGGATGGAGGAATCCAGGGCGACGGCCGTTTCAAAGGTCCAGCAACGGGCTACGTTACGAATGGTGTAGCCGCCTCCGCCGAGCATCAGCAGGGGAAGGTTGAAGCTTTTTATGTATTCGACACACTTCGCATGGCCTTTAGAGGGAAACGGAAACAAGAGATGTTAAAGGCTGTTATTTTTTTGGTGGGAGCCATTTTTATTTTACCTTTAATGGTGAGGTTAAAGCAGCCCAGTCTGTCTCCAGAGAGAGAATCTGCTCCACACTGCAGAACCACCGCACTGGGCTGGTACATTTCCATGACTTTAGCCATGATCTAACACAGAAAAAACAATCATTACTCTGCGGTGGGATTGATCTGAAATGTGGAATCTCATCAAAGGCAGAAAAAGGTACCGGTTTGAAGATGGCTTCATAGGATTCATCATCAATGCCGTCCCTCAGAGGGTAGTTCACAGCGTAGTACTTGCCCTTTCCTGCGCCGATGTCCTGCACACATTGAAAATGTTGGTTAAACATGGAGTCCCGGTCATGGAGGCCGAGTTTTCCTGGAGAAAAGCTGTGCTGCTGACCCTCAGATCTCCAGTGCCGGGGAAGTATTCCCCATATTTGTGGAAAGAAACCGTCATGACCCGATCTGTGGTGTAGAAGGCCTCTTCTACTCCGTCTCCATGGTGGATGTCGATGTCTATGTACAGCACCCTCTGGTGGTATCTGGACGATAGACAGGAAGTAAACAATCATTTCCTCCACCTTAAACAACCAGAAAGGAACCATAAACAACCAAGGGCTTTGGTGTATAAGTAATAAAGTGTTTTGGCCGGTCAGTAGAGCGAAGCTTATAGGCGGTGAAATTAAAAACACTGAGCATGGTTAATGTTTGAGGCGTCCACGCAGCCAAACTGTCATTTCGGGCCTCAACACCTCTCTGTACGGACATCATTGCTGCACTGCAAACCTCAGAAAATGTGCAACTACGCACTGCGGTGGATCTAGACCAAATGTAGGAGGGGGCAGGCATGTTTTAAGGGTAAGGGTTAAAATATATTAAGATATCTGCATGTAGTGAAATTTCTATTCAATTAGGTTTAATAACAATTCTTATCAGTTCCCTTAATGTCTTATTAGGTCAATATACTTTTATTATTTAGGAATTTTACATATTTTTGACTTAAGTTAAAATGACCGTTTTCTATATAAACTGAATTAGAATTTAAAGTCGTAGGGAAACTGCTGTTCCAACCGTTGCATTTCCGAATTCTCTTGAACGGTTCACGACTTTACACAAGTGAATAAAGTAAATGTGATTGGTCGATTATCAAGGGGGCGGGATTGTTGTGGCGGAAGATTTGCAAGTAGCTTTTGGTTGTGGCCAGTTTGTCGGAAGCATCTTGCTAACCAGTTAGCAACTTAGTTCTAGTAGGTTCCCAATGGGAAATTCCATTGGGACCAAGTAGCACTAAGTTGGTGACTTAGAAACGACACTGTCAAGGAACGCTATAGACAGCGGAAACATGCAAGAGGAGGAGAGTTTAGTGTCGGAGGTCGTGGATGAATCTCCTCCGTCATATATTTTTTATTTAGAGGAGGAAAGCAGGGACAAAGATGTTGTAGAAGAGGACGCCAGGGCGGCAGAAGCTTGGTTTGGTGTAGAAGGCTTACAGCCGTACATGTTTGAGCCCTTGCCTCGCAACGCTGCCAGTTCTGTTAGCTCTACGCCTGCTGAAGACACAGACGTCCATCCCCGTGAACACTGGGACGGAACTTAATGGGAAAGGAAATGATTCTGATTTCAGCTGGTGTGTATAATAGCTGCGACATCTGAATCAAGATGCTATGACTGAAAAAAAATGTGATTGACAGATGACCGTTGATATATGATTGGCAGAATTTAGGTGTTCAGGCTGATGTATCACCAACTGGCCTGCATAAGATAACAGGATTTATTCTTTATTATAGAAGTTTTCTAACTTTTGGGACAATATCGTCTGATAGAGAGGACATTTATATACATGTTTAAGCCAGAATGAGTTGACATTTAAACATGATTTTAGGGTTGTCAAAAGTATCGAAACTCAAAAAAGTATCGATACTAAAATGTTGTATCCGGATACAATACTCGTTTTTAAAAGTATCGATACTGTGCCGTCACCAGTGGCACCTAAGCAGTCATTCATCTAAAGTGCAGAATAGAGGACAATGCACAATCAGAACACTGTGTGATTGAATATTTCTACGCACTTTTCAGTTTCAGACTTTTTTTTTGTAACAGGTGCAGCTGCTGAGAATTATTTTTGTTTCTTAACCGGTTTGGATAGTGTCATTGTTATGTGTGTAGAATTTTGGAGTCTTTGTTTTTATCCTCGTGGTATCGAAAATAGTATCGAGTATCGAGTATTTTCCTTAGTATGGGTATCGAGTTGAAAAGTTTAGTATCGTGACAACCCTACATGATTTCCCTACGACTTTAAGAAAAACTGATCAATTCAACTGTTAAATTAGAGTATTTAGCAGATGGAAACTGGGATCATATCTCAATAGCACTGAAGCCCTCACCCTGTTTTTAAAATAATTAATAAAGCAGATTTTTTTAACAAGAAAAAAAAAGAAACAGATCCAAAGGACCTGTCAATAACCATGTATATTCCGGCACTATTAGAATTCCTTTGAGTAATATCTTCAGTAGAGGGGCCATGACATGTTCTACAGGGGTACAGGCCCCCATTGGCCCCTGTCTTGAGCCGTCTATGACTATGCAGACAGATCAGAACTTGGCAAGAGAGCAGAAGCTGCTGCTACTGCTGCTGAGGGTTCGCAAGTGTAAACGTATAAAGATGTGATTCAGCCTATAAATATCACCCCAGGAACAGATTGTGGAAAAACTCCTGGAAATAAATCTCAGTCAGGGACGGCATGAATGGGCTTTTGTTGTTTTCTACTTCCTAGCGTAGTGTGGTGTTGTCACCTTGCTGTTTATCCTGAAAGTTTGAGTCAAATATAAAAAAAACAAACAAAGTAAGAACACTTCTTAGCAAGTAAAACTGTTCTCTTAGATACACCAAAGGCGACATAAATTTATATTATATTTGCCAACTGTAGCTGAAATAAGAGGTTATGGATATAATATATAATACAGCTGGAAATAAACGACATTGTGATGCGTAGCGTACTTCAGCAGCTCCAGGATGGCCAGGACGATGTCGTTGACGTAGCAGAAACCAGACGCCTCAGACTTCTTGGCGTGGTGGAGCCCCCCCGCCCAGTTAATGGCGATGTCTGTCTGCTGCTTGTTCAGCTTCACGGCTCCAGCTGAAACCAAAAGTTGGAATTACTTAAAATAGTTTTAACTCTTTCCTTAAAATCAGGGGAAAGATGGATCATGTAAAAACAACCAACTGACCGACTGATCCGCCTGTTGACAGCTGGCAAAACTCAAAGAGACCATCAAAAACCGGACAGTCCTCTCCAACGTTAACTGTGGGAAGAAGAAAAAGGATGACTTGAATAGAATGTGAGGTACGGCAAGCCGGAGGCCCCAGCATAGAGAGCAGAACGCACATCTCTGCATCTGTTTGCTGTACTCAGACATGTTGTCAGGGCGGATGGACCTCAGGAACTTGATGTAGTCGTCACTGTGGTACTTCGTCATCTCTTCAGCGCTGGCTTTATGTGGTCTCTGAAATTATACAAGGAAACCAAAAGCTCAGAACAGGGTGAAGTCAAAGGTTGAATCTACTGAAAATCGAACACTTTTTTCCCCACAGTGTCCTGTCTGGCAATGTAGCAATAAGAGTGATTGTCTTGATGCCAAAGAGACCCAGCAGATTTTACCTTCACGAGTGGAGCAGTAAGGCTATTGCCATAGTGTTCCGCTTGATTTATGCATATAAATAGCTTTATTATAATTCATGCAGGGAGTTCTAAAGATTATATGGACACTGCAATGTAAGTAAAACAGGAAAGGAAAAAGAGGAAAAAGGAGAAAATATGAAAGAAAGAGGAGATAAAATGGAGGCAATGATAAAACATCTTCAGAGAAGGCATTTTCTGACATTTTTCCTTCATGTAATTATGCCAGGGCCCTGAGACACACGGCATGTGATGTAATGTCACCGATACATGTGTAGTGTCTTATTTAACTGGCTGTTTAATTATTCCCAGCTGTGAACGTAACGCATCGCTCAATTCATGTTGCCCCGCGTTTCCCTTTTAATTATTGTCAAAAAAAAATCTCACTTTAATCAAATAGATGTTATTTTACAAATAGAGCGCATCGGAGCGGAGTGTAATCCTCGCTCTAGTCTTTGAATTGAAAACTGCTCTGCGCGCCGCCATATTTCTTCTGCTCCGCTCACATGCTCTGGTTATAGATCACTAGTGTGCACTAAAACACACTGTGCCTACTGAGGCACACCGTGGCCCTAATGCAACAGTTCAATATAAACAGAAAACCGCATGGTTCTTTTTTTCCAATTGCAATGATAATATTGAATCTAATTAATTTAAATTCTCCTAACTTACACTCACTGTTGCCATCTTTATTGCTATATTTAATAACTTGTTACACTCCTCTAATGACTTAGAATTAGATTGTAGAGAGAGAGACATGTGCAAAGCTTCCCCTCGTAGCCGTTTTGTGGCACCAAAATAGATCCTCTCTGCAGCTGATTTACACACAGCTTCATCCGCTGTGTCCCTCTACTAACGGTCTTTGTTACATTTGATAACATAAAATTAAATTGTGTAGTTTTATTTCAGGCAAAATATTATTGAATCCTTTAAGCTATTGTTGTTAAGTTTATTTTTTGTTTTAAATGTAGAGTGTTTTTTTTTTTATCTCAGCAACCAAAACTCGTATCTTGCATACCACTATTGAGAAGTGGCATATGGCACCAGAAAAACTGCCAAAACCACTTTAAAAATCGCATATGCCAGTTTAACTGAAGGTCCTAAATTGGTTCTGTTTTCTTTGACAATGCCACTGAATGTTTTGAACACGGCAGCATGTTGTGAGAAACATAAAGAATGGAAAGATTAAGCATTAGCCTAGCCACCGTCTATACACTTCTTCATCTCTGCTGGCAAACAGGCGATTATCACCCCCTTCTGTACATATACATGTGGGCTATTAGCAATTAAGATATATTTTTTTTCATACATTTGGATTTAAAATGATTAAAAAAAACATCTTCACATTAAAAATTAATTGTTGTTAGAGAGCACACAGCCACTTTAGTTATGTGTCAGTTTAAACTATGCTAAGCAAAGTAATCCAAAGTCCTTTCAAAAACTGTCTAAATACAAATGTGTTATAACCGGGAGGAAAATGAACATGTGAACTAATGAAGAGTTAAATACGTTCGCCGAGATCAAGTAAAAAAAAAAAAAATAACCGGAATACAGCTTCATATTCCAGCAGGGTTTTAATTGAATGCTTTTTAAAAATTATTTTAATGCCATCAACAAGTACAAATGACTCACACACACACATATATATGTATAAAGCACGGCAAAATCCTCCATCATCTCTGTCAGCCATATCCTGAATTCCTGGTTTTCCAACCACTCATGTTGAAATTAGCATTTTCCGATTTGCTAGCTTTTTCTCCGCTTCGAGCTTCTTTCCGAACATACAGCTTTACCATCAACGGGAAGCAGTTCCACGAAAATATATCACAATATATCTGGCAAAATTGTTTTTATAATCGAATTTTAAAAAATAATAAAGCATTTTAAGTGCCACGATTATCGTATTTAATTAATTTTAATGCCAATTAAGGCCTTAATTAAAAAAATATATACAATTTAATGACTTTTAATGACCTGCGGAAACCCTGTCCAGTTTGTTTGAAGTCTGAAGTTTCTCCAACAACCGAGATGTAGGAGCAGGATTAACTTACCCAATGGGTAAAACTTGGCAACACATCACTTTGTTAAACAGGTTATCAGAGCTTTGATCTCCACATTGTACTTCCACCAAACAACCAAAAACCCAAACGGTTTAGTATTCCAATAAAAATGAAAAGTGAAATCAGAGTAACTGCCGCTCAAATCATGTTTGACTCACATAGATCTCCATTTTCCTGTACAGTCCATAATTGAGGAGGAGGTTGTGTGTCATACGAATCCTGTGGGGTTTCATGGGATGGCCTTGGCCGTAGTAATAGTTCCCCACATCACCTGAAGGAGAATAAAATAATGTTTAGTCAGCTTTTAACCAGCATTTTAAAGAAAAAGAAAAAAAATGCACAAGATGTTTCATTTTTTTAACCAACAATCCTTCAAATTTATGTTTTCCAGTGACATTTTGTAGCCATTTGGCAACAGATGTGTTATAAGCCGTTTATCAAGGTTTTGGTTGTTACATAACCTAAAAATGGTTAGCCTTGTTTTTCTTTTTATAAAACATTTAATGCCACAAAAAAGCAAGACCTCCGAAAATGTTTTTTTTTTTTTTTCTTTTAGTAATCTGAATCACTAATGACAAAAAAACGCATCTAAATGAGATTCATTCTTGCACTCTTTTGGTTAGCAGGCAAAAAATCATATTTCCCTCATTACGAGAGAGAAAAAAAATGCTATACATTAGTTATGTTATGAGATGAGCCGAGGCTTTGAGGCGTTTCCTTGAGGCACATATCGAGGCTTGCTTCATTTGGGGGAGGAGCCAAAACAGATGACATCGGAAGCCTCGCCACCCCACCATTCCACGTGACTGCTTTGGGAAGTGGTTCAGCTCGCCCAGAACTTTGACAGGCATTTAAACAGCCTCAGATGTGGGAGTTTGTCGGAGAGTTGCTGTCAGCTGGATAGAGTTTGGATAGATTCTAAGAATAGATTGGTTGGAAAAACAACTGATCTAGTTGGTTAAAACTAGTTCGGTTAGATTAAAAAAATTATCAAAATCTGAGCGAGCCACTGGCTACAGATGTAATGGGTTGTAACTAGGGATGGAACGGTTTATGAAAACCGTCCTAACTGTTCGGTTCAACTGTCTCGATTCAATTTGTGTGTTGGTTCATGCGCTGCTGCTTTTTCTCATAGGCGAAGCGTGTACACTCCAGAGCAGAGGGTGGCAGTACTGCGACCAAAGCCAACCACCAGTAGTAAACAAGAAGAAGAAGCCAATCAGCGTAGCCGGGTATAGCAGAAAAAAATCTGTTGTTGTGGAGAATTGTGTGGGTATGGCGAGTGGGAAAGAAGAGTAGTTGGAAGACGCGCCAGCAGCACTTTATAGGTCTGCTGTATGGGACCACTTTGCATTTAGAGTGACCTACGATGACGGCGGAAAGAAAGTTGTGGATTAAAGTGCAACAGTGCCAGAATCTCACCTACTTTTAACCTAAGACTGTCACAATGATGTATCAAATGTCAGACTGCTTTTTTTCTTTCAGTTTTAACCTGACTATACAAGACATAATAGATTTTCCTAACAATTAACATATACCGAACCGAAAACCATGACCACGAAACCGAACCATGGATTTTGTGAACTGTAAGAGGTGGACTTCCACTCTTCAGGTTGATGGATCAAGACCCACATCAGACTTTGTAAAGTTGCAATAGAGCCTTTTTTTTGGCTAATGTGACTAATTTGTATTGGTTTCTCCTAGTGCAAATATAGATTAGGTAAAAACACTGCCAAAGTTAGATTGGTTGGTATGACCAAAAGGAAAGGTTGGTTGAACACATAACTTCCAATCCGATTAAAACCAAAAACAGTGGAAAAGCTGTTGTTTGAAAAAAATGACTTACGCCTTTCATTTTATTCATCGATGCCCAATTTGCACATTCTCTCCTGCTTCAGCTTATTTCACTAAAATGGCAGTAAAACAGTGCTTTTTTCTCTTGTAAGACATTTTACAAAAAGGGAAAGATCGCAAAGGGAAACCATTATAATCGGAATATTAGGTACACAATAAACATCTAAATGATATGAATCTATAATTATCCATGAGCGACTCAAATAAAGGGTTAGACGACACAATGGGAAGAGAAAACGGAAGTATTTATCAGATGTTTCGTTATGAAAAAGCCTCGTTAGCTCATTAAACATTAGGTGGACGCTGGATTTAAATGACTATTTAATTGGACAATAATAATTATAACTTCAGCGTGAATTAAGCAAGTTATCTCGTTTCAACGAGAGCAAATATATGTGAACAAAGGCATGGATAAGTCAAAAATCCAAGACTAATTTAACCGACAAAGCCTTTGGGAAGATGAAGCGGATAAAAGCAGATGAACCACACCAATGAATCCGTCCTCACTTCTCGGAAGTTGTTAGCAAGTTGGATGGACAGCGTGTGGTTTATGAATATAATTTAAATGCAAAACAGCACCCCATACAATGCGTTCATAATTTATAAAAGTTTGCTTTTATACAAAGTGTTTTGGAACCAAGCTGCAGACCACAGTCATCCGGGATGCGGGCTAACGGCTAGTTAGCCTATAACAAGCTAGCTGGCTAACGTTAGCTTCCCCAGCACCGGCTTCATGAGTGAGACCCCTCTGCAACATTGAAACCCAAATGTAGAAAAATTTAATCCCAAGGTTTCATACGCTGAACAACACGTTTCAGAATTAATGCACCTAAGAAGTTCAAGTTAAATATTTACCGTCATAATAATAGCAAACTTTTTTCTTTGTTCCTTGAGACAGCGCCATTTTACACCAGTTACCTTACTGGTTCGCCCGCTTGCCGGGTTCTCCGTCAGACAGGGGCGGGGCAGGTTTTCTCAACCAATCAGAGCGGCTCATCGGTATCACCGGGAGGAGCCTGAATACAAACCGAGGACCACTCTGGTTTTTAGTCTAGAGAAACATAGATCTGTAAGCGTCATCATTATAAATTTCATTTCATTTAAAAAAATTATGTGATTGTTTTTATTGGTTAGTACTAATTTTCTCTAAAAAACAGAATTACTTTGATCGTATGGACACAGGTTCAGGTCGTTTTGCATAATGCAGCGCCCCCTAATAGTGGGTGTGGTCATCATTGCTAAGCGGACCCCAGTGACAATGCTACGTAAGCGTCTCCTCTGCGCCATATTGGATGGGGCAGAAAGAGCTATAGGGAGAGATCACCGATCATAAAAGGATGCTTTATTCGTTTGAAAATGAACTCTAAAATAAACCGTTTTATTGTACAAACCAGACCAGATGCATTTAAAGGAAAGAATAAAAAGAAAAAAACTTCTATGATCGCTTTTCCCGTGATAAAGACATTTAAAAGAACTAGTAAAAGTACAGTCCGACGCGTCATAAAATGAATCCCGCAGGGAAACTGGCGAAATATTATCTACAACATAAAGTTAACTATTTAAATTGTTGATACACCGTAGGTTTCCCAAAGATTAAGCTTTAAGAAAACAATTGGGAGCAGCAGTGAGAAGATAAAGGTTAAATTGTGCTTTTTATTTTATTTTTTATCATAACAAAACACGTTCAACCAAGTATGGCAATTAAAAAGTTTAATTCTTCATGCATGACAGAGGCATACTCAGGTACTGAGAGTTACAAGGACAACATTAATTTAAATAAAATAAAGTAAACAAAAATTCACTAAAATATATATATAAAAAGGAAGATGTTGGTTATGGTATTTATGGGAATTAGTGGGAATTTCATTAACATTTTATTGATATCTTCATATTTTTCAACATGTTTAAGAGATTTCAGATATAAATGAAATTCTGATAAAAACAAATATTTAACACTATGCAAAAATCCGGTGACGATCTTGTACTCTCTGTTGGTGAATGAAGAATTTTGCCTGACAAAATATAAGATTAAAATACAATTCTGTTTTTGTTTTTTAGAAAATCTCCAAATTTTATTGTATCTCTGGAAATCAAGCCAGAAAGAGTACTCTTTTTTTGTTTTTTTCTAATCCATCTTTCTAAGTTGTTCCAAAATATTTTAGCTTTGCTGCTTTTATAGAAAACATAGTCTGTTGTTTCAATATGTATTTCATAAAATTACCATTTATAACCATCTCTGTTGAAATGAATAATTGGTAAATGGAAGGGTAAATAGCATTTAAGATTTTAAAGTGTTTCTTTTGCTTTTGGTTGTACAGAGAGATTCAGATATAGAGTTCTTAACTTTTCGATATATGTTTTGTCACATTTGTGGGTATGTTATTTTTGTTACTTTTACCAAGGAAAGGTAATTTCATTTAAACAGTTCCAAATTGTGATGTTATTTGGGGCTTTTGTCTGTAAATGAAAATCCATTAACAGTTAGAGTGGCTAATTGAGGGATTGTATGAGGCTAAGCTATTTAATTTTAGTCAGATTAAAAAACTGTGTTGGTAG